AAAAAAGTAAGTAAGGAGGGGGGGGATATGCATGGTCAGGAGTTTCCTGCCTGACAGAACACACCTTGGGTCTCTCCCTGCCACACATTTGATGGTGTGTCCAGCAGCATGCTGTGGTGCAGAGATGCCTTCACTCCCTCACATGTAAGTGGGTTAGTATGGACATCTGGTGGCCCATTGTCCAATGCAGTCAGCTGCTTGTTGTTCCACATCCCTCAATCCACTATAAGTGGGGATGGCTTAATAATCCACTTTGTTTCCACTTGTTGGGAACACCATTATACCAACCATGTACACAGCAATCAAATGAAACCACACACAGCACACACATTATCCATCTTCAAGCCAAAAGACAAAATTGGTCAAGAACACATTGCTTGAAACTGACAAAAATGGACACTCAGAATCAGGAAAACACACTTGAAAATCACTGCATTTTTTATCTTGGCAAGAAAAGAAGTCAAGGCACATTGTGGAAAAATGAAATAGCATCTCACTTTGAAAAAGAATTTCAATCAATTCTGTTTTTTCTCTTAATAACAGGGACACCAGTATTAGTTCCAAGTATAGTATTTACATAAGTACATCACATGCCCTCAGGTAAGATGCACACCTTCTTTTTGCAGAAACATTATTAAAAGGAAAACCCCCATTCCAGCATAAATTACGCACCTTTGTTTTCAGTTGGCAAAATTCAAATTTGAAAAACTTCATTAATTGAAAACTAAATTCAAGACCATTTAAAAACAGAATTCCACAGTAAACTTCGGTTCATGTTTAATTGAAAAATACAGCACAGTATAATTTTCCATATTTCATCCCAATTTTTCAGAGAAAAATCATAACTTAATTTAAATTCAATAAAATTCACTCAATTATGAAATTGAACATTCGCATGGAACCAATCTTCATTTCCGCTGAAGCATGATACACACCCACTTTTTTTCTTGCCAGGTTCTGGAAAGAAATATGCACAGTCTTCCAGTAAGTACAGCCACTGTCTGCAAAAAATCCATTCAGCGTTTTACAGACTCTACACATGCATTCTCTACAGCCACTCTCTGCAAAAAATCCATTTGGCGTTCTACAGTCTCTACACATGCATTCTCTACACTACAACACCTAGAAAAACAAGAAAAAAAAATAATCATCAATTATGCGATATTCAGTTCAAGAAAAAATGTCACACGTTCCAATATCAAGTCCTTGCCTCTGTATTCCACCATAACAAAAAATGAACCTCAAAGAAAAAAAAAAGGTACCTTCCAACTGATGTCAAATCAGACATAAAACACACAAGGAAAAAATGCTCTTGGGGAGTGAAAAACACACTTATTTCAGGCACAGGAAGTCAACAAAGCCACAAAAAAAAGCATGGAACCTTTTTTGCCAACAAAAAAAGTTTCTTTTCAAATGCTCAAACAACAAAAAAAAAAGCTGAACACCTAAAGCAAAATGTCACCTCCCATCAACTTTTCTCTCTCTTTTTTTTTTCTTTCTTCTGTAGGTCTCACTTCCCTCCCAACATCCATCAACAGGCACAAAAATAGATATCACATTTTCTTTGCATAATTTTTGCAACACTTTTCAAGAGGCGTTCTCATATTTTCTTTATATAAAAAAAAGGAAAGTTCCGAGTAAAAGAAGCTGCTTCTGTCTCATAATGCAAAACAGGTAAAGCCCACCGATTCTAAGGCACAGTCTCAAGATGAACTTTTGAGCAATCGTCAAGAAAAAAAAAAAAAAGCGTCAGACAATGAAACATCAACAATGTAAGCTGAGAGATCTCAGACAGTGGTCTCATTCCTGCCACGACCGCCAGGTGACACCGCCTGCAAACCACTGGGATGCAAAGGTCGCAATTCCCCCTTCAACCGATCCACCTCATTGTAATATTCGTGATCATCAGACTCTTCACCACCAGAACTCCGCCTCGGGGCAATCGGGAACGACGCAGTGGAACAAGATGAACTGGTCGTAGAGACCACGTGGTACTCTGGGTTGTCTATCAGTGTGGCACCACCACCACCACCACAACCACCGACAGGTCCGTTGGCCCCACCGCGATGGAACCCAGGATGTGTCTGCATGCTATTGTGGTGATGGAGGAGTTGGTTGTGGTACTGGTGTTGAGGAGAGTAGCCTGCGGAAGGGGGTGCTGATGGAGGGCCACCACTGCTGCTCCCACCACCGCCACCGCCGCTCCTGGTACCACCTGCGCCCATTGGAGATGGTACCAAGTAGTCCTCCACTTCTGGTGGTAGGGACAGCTTCAGGTCGCCCACATTGGCTCGCCGTCGCTGGTAAATGTGGGTTTCACCGGGTTGCCCCACTAATCCTGGTCCTCCTGTGGTTCCATGCAGCTCCACTTCATCTACACACACATACATATGAAAAGGGGATATAAAATCATTGGTTTTCCACTCATGGTACCACTATGACCTCCCTCCACTTCATCTACACACATACATGAGAAGGGGATATAAAATCATTGGTTTTCCACTCATGGTACCACTATGACCTCCCTCTACTTCATCAACACACATATATGATAAAGGGATATAAAATCATAGGTTTTCCACTCATGGTACCACTATGACATCCTTTCCTTGCGTATACTGTATTTGCATGGGCCAAATGCTTTATGGTGTAATTCTTGTCACAAGGAATTTATTCTTATACAGGTGGACACTCCCTATTTGGTCCAACAGTCTACAACGATTTTTTGGTGGTCCCCTGAATGCTGTTGTAGAGAGGATTCTTCTTGAAAAATTTTCAACATGATACCAGTAACTGATTATATTTTCAACTGATGAACATTGTACCAAAGTTTTGACGTGTCTGGTGAATTTGTAGTGGAGAGAATACCCTGAATTTCGTTTCGTGTCTAGAATCCATCTGCAAAAAGGTTTCAACCTGATAATACAGTATTGATTATGTAAGACTCTCTGTACAAAGAATTTAGTTTGAAATGATTTTCTCTAAACTCGACTTTTCTGGCTCGAGGATTTAATAACTCTCAAGAATTCCCGCATCAACTTTTACGCCGCAAAAAAAGAGCATTTCATAACTTTTACCTCTGCAAAAAAATAATCAACTTACGGGGTAAAGATTGCAGGGGCTCTTTGACTCTCTGCGGCAATCCGTACGTCAAAGATGACGGACCTGTAGCCTCATATCTTGGCACACCGACACTCCGGTCGGAGAACACGGGATTCGGTGTCACAGTCCTGCTGCTTCCGTGAATCAGCCCTTGTCTGAAAAACAAATAATCAATTCAAAAATGCTTCTCCTCCGTTGCAAAAGTTCAACAACAAAAACTGCCATTTCCGCACGTCATACGTATAGATAGATACGTCTTGGAAGATTTTTTTTAATGGATTTATGATGTCAGCAAATTAAAAGTGATCATGATTAAAGAACAGATTTAACCTGCTCCATTCAATTTTTTTTTTCGACAAATATTTTGATTCTGAGTCACTGGAAAAAAAGCGGGCGTATTTCGCGGGGATTTTTTCTTCTTCACCGAATTCCAGAACTGAATTCGGCGGATATCTTTTCTTTTTACAGGTTCGGCAAAAAAAAAAAAAAATCACCGGGAAAGACGCGCGCTTTTGTTTTCAGTGACCAAAAATCGAAATATGAACGCCAAAAAAAAAAAAGAAGAGATAAATCTGCGCGTCTTACGCAGAGAGTGAATAACATTTAAAAAATATATATACAGTATATATGTTACTCCGGCACAGTTTCTTTTACCTCGGCATGGAGAGAAAATTGACACCAGGCCCATCGTGCACCGGAATGCCGACCATGGACCCGAAATGACTAGCAGGTGATGACGGGCCTCCCACGTCACCCATGGCACCACTGTTGTGCAGCATCCGTCGCGAGGTGCCAACCAGGCCCCTGTAGTCCACCCCAGTGGTGGCTGTGGACGTTGACGAGGCTGCTAGTGCTGAATGTCTCGACGCCAAGGTCAGGGCTGATGCGTAACTCGGGAACATCTTTCCTTGTTGTTGTTGTTGGTGCTGAAGGTGGTTTTGTGCGTGTTGGGGGTGATGATGATGAAGCTGCTGGTGTTGGTGCTGCTGCTGGTGTTGGTGCTGTTGCAGTTGCTGCCTACTGCGCGCCAGATGGCGGTGGTTGGCAAGTGCAGCTTCTGTTGGGGAGAAATTCAGATTTCAGGTCAACTCAAGATTTCAGTTCAACAAAAGATTTCAGTTCAACAAAAGATTTCAGTTCAACAAAAGATTTCAGTTCAACAAAAGATTTCAGTCCAACAAAAGGTTTCAGTTCAGGTTTCAGTCAATAAAAGTTTTCAGGTCAACAAAAGATTTCTGTTCAGATTTCAGGCCAACAAAAGATTTCTGTTCAGATTTCAGGTCAACAAAAGATTTCAGTTCAGAGTTCAGGTCGACTTTAGATTTCAGTTCAGATTCAGGTCAACTAAAGATTTCAGTTCAGATTTCAGGTCAAATAAAGATTTCAGTTCAGGTTTCAGTCAATAAAAGATTTCAGTTCAGGTTTCAGTCAATAAAACATTTCAGGTCAACAACAGATTTCTGTTCAGATTTCAGGTCAACAAAAGATTTCAGTTCAGAGTTCAGGTCGACTAAAGATTTCAGTTCAGATTTCAGGACAACTAAAGATTTCAGTTCAGATTTCAGGTCAACAAAAGATTTTAGTTCAGAGTTCAGGTCCTTCAAATATTCCAGTTCAGCTTTCAGGTAAAGGAAAAAGTGTTGGCTTTATTTGATTCTCCTCAAAGATTTCTTTAGAATTGTTCCATCAGTTCTACTGAAGATTTCAGGTCAAGGATTTCAGTTCAGATGTTAGGTCAGGTCAAGGATTTCAGTTCAGATGTTAGGTCAGGGAAAAAATGTGAACTTTACATGATTTATCCTCAAAAGATTCTTCCTAAATTGTTCAATTGGGTCACCTGAAGATCTCAGGTTGAGGAAAATTTATTAACTTCACACAATTCTTCCTCAAAGATTCTTTCTAAACCGTTCCATCAATTAAATAATTATCTGGGAACAGGTTGAACACCTTGAGCTCAATAATTGCCTTATTCTATGATTTTTGTTTAAAATAATTGATGATCAATCCATTATTCATGCATTTGCAAGTACTCATTCACTGTACTGCGATGCTTTTTCTTTTGAATGAATGTGTGGGGTAATATGTTCTGAACCTTTTGAACGCTGACAGAAAGAAAATAAAGCTTGTGTACCCATCAATCAAGGTGACCTCTGACTAAAAAAAAAATTTGTAATTCGTCACGACTCTTGAATGATACTGTACTTCAGCTACTTTTAAATTTTTACACAACAAGTAACGGTACTGTATCACAGTTCCATTCCAGGGATCTATACACTCACATATACCGAACAAGCTTTAGCTTATCCAAAAATTAATTCCCGCGACATTTATGTTAAGTTCAAACAAAACTAGAGGATTCGGACGAGACGGTGGATCGGCAGACGGGCTGTTACCTGTAGTAGTGGCCTCTCTGGGCTGAAGGTACTCTTCTGCATCCATCACAATTTCGCCTTCTGCCACATGAGGTGCTGCCAGGGTCCTGATCATCTCCTTCTGGTCTTGAGTGGTGTAACTCGGCAGCCTCATTAACCTATCACCTGTCAATAAAACTTGAATCATTAGCTTCATCACCTAAATTGCACACAAAAAAATAAAATAAAAACGGAAGTTTCCCGGAAGTGGGTTCATGGTTTACACGATGGAAAATCATGGGAACATGGAAAAAGAAATCTGAAACATGCTTCTCAAATTTCAAATAGAATTTTCTTCCAGTACGTGATTTACCACGCTCATTAAAATTATGTCACTAAATTACAATAATTCATTGTGCATGAAACAAAAATATGGTGTTTCAGTCTTGAAAATTCCCTAGATCCAGTTAGAATATTAGAGCACAGCATTTCCTAGAGAATACAGCAATGCAATTGAAAACATTTTTAAACATCTCTTTCAACCACACATCTATGTAAAGGACAAATCATCACAGGTGGACTCTCTCTCTCTCTCTCTCTCTCTACAACGATTTTCTCTGTATAACGAATTTTTTTTTGGTCTCTTATGGGTTCTCTCCCTGTGTTATATAGGTTGTCTACAACGAAATTCTCTATACAACGATTTTTTTTCTGGTGCCTTGAATTTCATATCATACCAAGAGTCCAGATGTGTGGGGGTTCTTCACAACGTAATTCTCTCTACAACGATTTGTTTTCTTGGTCCCTTGAATTTCATCGCGGGGAGAGTCCACCTGTAGCATGTTTGATGAAAATTTGAGCGCAAAAAGGGAGAAAATGGGAATTTTCAACAATTATTCTACACGGACAGCCTCAAGTTCAGGGAATGAATATAATCGAAACTTTATGAAAATACAGCAAAATCTCTTCATAACCAACGAAGCTATTTTGAGGCCCCGAACGCTTCGTCGTAACGATATTCTACTGCATATACAGTATTATTTTTTAAATGACGGGTCACCTTTGATGGCCAAATACCGTCCGGGGTCCCGGGACATCTTGGCAAACTCGTCAGCCAGTTCCCTAAACGACGGTCGGTCATCGGGACACAAGATCCAGCACTTGATCATGATCATATAAACGTCCAGCGATGCAATCGGAGGTTGTTGCAGTCTTTCACCCTTCTCCAGAAACTCAGACACTTCCCACGCAGGAATGTTTTCGTACGGCTTCATCCCGTACGTCAGCACTTCCCAAACAGTCACACCTTCATTTCGTTGCAAAAAAAATCGAAAATGAAAATTTTGCGCGTAGCATCTTCACGATGAAATCCAAAATTATAAAGACATATAATCAAGTGTTTTGAAATTTCGTTCGAAAAAGCACTCACCAAACGCCCAGACGTCGCTCTTGTGCGTGAATATCCTGTGTGTGATGCACTCCATGGCAAGCCATTTGATGGGCATTTTCCCACCGACGGCCTTGTAGGCTTCTTCGTTGATTTCCAGCAACTTGGCCAGGCCAAAGTCGGTGATTTTGACGTGATGCGGCGTTTGGACCAGCACGTTTCTGGCAGCCAAGTCCCGATGAACCAGGCGTTTGTCTTCCAGATACGCCATGCCTGTGTGAATTTGAAGGAAAGGGGGTGTCAATTTCAAGCATACTGTTCAACGGTTATAATGGACTTGATCCGTTTCGAAAAAAATTAGTACAAAAGAAGCCATAAATTACGTTTCAATCTCTTTACCGGAATGTTTAAAATTCTTCGAAATTTCACCGGAATTGTATGTGCCAAACCAAGTTGGCGAATGAATACGTGCTCGAAATACATACCGTGATTAAAGATCGACCACAAAAAAAAGATACAAGTAAAACAATGATCAAAAATGTTGAAAATACATTTTTGGTTTTTCCTCATTCTAAGAAAATGTGTTCCTTTTTCTCTGATTCAATCAATTGTTCAATTTAATTAGTGCATTCGAAGAGAAACAATTCATCATTCAAACTCGTCTTCCACATTTTTCTTCATCCAAGAAATTTTGTTGAACGAATTTCTACTGAGCTGTTGGAAAATCTTAATCTTAATCTTTAATCTTCGCAAATTCTCAAAAATATTTGCAAATGAATAGGAGTTAAAATAACACACAGTGATTATCAGGAACAAAAAAGAAAAAACAAGTTGATGAAAACTTGATATTTTCATTTTTGCAAGCTTTTTTCGGCATTAAAAACAGTTTTTCCTCGCTTATCATCTTTTTCATTTTTTTTCTGTAATTTTTGAATTTCTTGAGTGAATTAAAGAAAAATACTCATTCGAACTCGACTTCTAATTTTTCTAGCCAAGGATTTTTGAACATGTTTACGAACAATTGAAAGAACTTCAAAAATTCAATTTTGATTTTTTCCTCATTCTAAATCAAAAGTTTATAGCTTTGTCCTGACTCAATCAACAGTTGAATTTCAAGACTATATTTCTAAAAATTTACTATTCAAAACTCGCCTTCTTTACAATAATGCACATACTGCACAGCACTTTATTAAATTCAAGGATTTTTATAATTTAATTTGCTAAAATACTCGGCATATTTTTACTTGACTCGAAATGGTTTTAACCACCTTTTGGTTTCGTTTCAATCGAGTTCACAATAGGACATATATGCCACTGAAAAAGAAAACCTCACCTCTGGCAATTTGCGTGGACCAAGACAACATGGCCTTGGACCCAATCCTGTCCTTGTTGTCTCGCACATAGGTAAGCAGACAGCCCAAGGGCATCAACTGGGTCACCAGCATCATGGGAGACGTCATGCACACAGCCAGCAATTGCAGGAGATTCGGGTGTTCCACAGTGGCCATGATTTTAGCCTCGTCCAGGAATGTGCGCCCGGAATCCGCACCGGCGCCATCATGCAGCACCTTAATGGCCACTGGGATCTTGACACCTTCGCCTTCGGGGACCCACACACCCTGGAATTTAGAAGAAGAAAAAAATGAATTAAATTGGAATTACAATCAGGTAATGTTTTTTTTCACGAGGGCTCTTAACACTGGGCATCAACTTTCAGGCCCTACCAGTTTCCCCAAGAAAACCATGAATCAGAAAAAATGAAGGTAAATTCTCTCTACAACGATTTTCTTTTTTTTTCACCAGCCTCTTCTGAACCCAATCATGGGGAAAAAAAGTTTACAACCAACCTTGTAAACAGAGCCAAAGGCCGGCATTGGGTTGTACAGGGGGAACGCGTCGAGCCGGAGAAAGTGCCAGGCGTTAACCCGGTCCAAGCCCGGTTAGCAGCCGAAGTTGCGGAGGAGAGGCCCGCTGAGGTGCGGCCCATAAACGCAGCTCATCTTCATCACGTCCGCCTTGAACTTGGCCTTGTGGTAGCACTTGTACATGAGGGCGATCATGCCGACGAAACCCAGGGCCACACTGCCCAGCACGGCGCCCAAAATCACCGGCATGCTCGCATCGCTACACGATAAACAAATATCATTTTAAAAATTTGTTCGAACATTTTCACATTCAACTTAAAAAACACGAAAAATCCAGGATTTAACTTGAAGCAGGAAAATGGACACAAGTAACAATTTCTGCGGGCATGAATCCAGCTGGCCCATCAAATCAGCGCATCACTGGAATAATTATGCAGTTGAAACTCTATGACTTGAACCGAAGTCGATTTATTTTAAAAATCCCTGACTCAATTCCCTTTGAAATAAGGCATTAAAAACCCGCCATACTAAAAAAAATTCTTCCTAACTCGAATTTTCTGTAGGCCTTTTGGCTGCCATTTTATTGACAGAGGAAAAAAAAGTAACCTGATTCGTTTTGAAAAGAAGTGAAAGAATAATTGGGTAAGTGTACTCATTCAAGAAGCCATTTCAAGCCCAGAATATCACGAATTACAATTTTCCTTGAATTATTTTTCATTTACCCCAAAAATGATTCCTTTCTATAAACTCAATTTTTTTTCTGCGGGTCCCTCAAAGTTCTAGATTTGACCATCATAAATCAGGTTCTTCGAAGAATAAATGTTTAAAAAAAAAAAACGAACCTTCTGTCATTGGCTGGATCCCTGGCACAGTAAGGTTCATCTCCCGAGTCCTTCGGAAAAATCTTGTGAGGAGCAAAGTCCGGGCAAGAACTCGTGCAGTCAAACTTCCTCGTCCCGTTCACTCCCGAAGGAACAGCACCTTCTTCGTCCTATTTTATTTCCAAGATAAAATAAAACAGTCACTGGGTTCCACACATTTAATCCTGGGCTGATCAAAGAGAAAAAAAAAGAAAATAAATCTCACCAAGTAAACTTTAAAATTCTGACAAGAAGAGCAATCCGACGGCATTGGTCCAAAGCAACCCCTACATTCATCGTGACATGGAAAGCATTCATCTCGGCTTCTGTCCGTAAAATGACCATGCGGACATTCCACTTCGCACTGCAAAAAAAAAAAAAATTATTAAAAAAACCATCAGGAATTTGAATTATATAAAATAAATTCAGAAAATGAGACGCATTATCGCACAAAGACAAAAATGCAGCGATGCAAAAACTTCCTTCAAAACTTGATTTTGACTATACATAAAGTGTTACGATTCGCTTCGAAAATATTCGAAGTTCAACAGGTGGTCAAAAAGTCATAGAAATAATCATACATTTTTTAAAACGTTAATTCACAACATATGAAGGGAAATACTGTAACACATTTCAAAAGTATATTCCCTTCCCTTTTGCATAGTTGATGACACGGGAATTTGAATTGGACACAAGGTATTTTTAACTACTTTGAATACTTTAGAAATGTACGCAAGACATTTTCCATGGGATCTGGAACGTATCAACTGTATCCTCCAATTAATATCAGTTCAAGTCGATAATTACTACCTTAAATTATTTCCCGCTAAGCAACGCAATTCATAGGCGAATACTGAATATTCTCCAGATTAAAAAAAACCCCTCAGGGAGACGAATAAAGTCCATTAACCGAAACAATACATTAATTGCACTTGAAAAAAAATTTCCTTTTCCCATCGATCCTCACCTGTTCTCCCTTCTTGACAAATGCACATTCTGTGCAAACAGACTCGTGGAATCCATAACCCGTGCAGGATTTGCAGCGTTCGTGACACCGTCTGCAAACATATTTGCCCATCATGTTCCTCAGCGAAGGATTCTCTTCTCTTTCGCCAACAAAGTCCGAAAAGTAGCTGGCTGGACACGGGGACTCTTGCGGCAAACAATAGACGACCTGAACCAGCAACAGAATGCAAAAAAAAAAAGAAATTCATTAGACGAACAGCAAACAAATTTGAGTTAGGGAAACAAGCAAGTTGGTTGGGAGAAAGATAGAAAACTTGCAAATATCGGTAATATTCCGGACTTCAAGGTTTGAACAGCTTCTTGAATGAGTTGACGGGATGCTAAACTTGGAAGCAAGGATTCATTTCCCCAATTCGTTTTTCACTTACTTTCACAGCAAGTTTGAAAAAGAAAATGATACAAGCAGATGAGGAAAACGTTTTTTTCTTCTCAATCGTAGTAAAAATGATAATTCCAGGCTGATTTTCGAACCATTCCCATTTTTTGCAGTCCTCGATTTGAAAAATGGAGCGTAGCCAATTTCACTTAAACCACTGCGTTTGGATTTAATTTCAAGATCTGTTCAATTTTTTTTTACCACAACGTCATGGCAGCAACTCGCAAAATTAGATAAGGACGACATCTAGGAAAGAAACAGCGAGAATATTCGCGAATTTTTCCCTACTTATCACGGTTGGATAATTTCATTTCCTTTCAAAATAAAAGTTAAACCCCCGACGAACAAAAAAAAAAAACACTCACAGCAGAATTGTCATGGACTTCAACGACGCCGCGATGACACGACGTGCAGCCACCTGGCCCCATGTGTGGCCCTGGCCCATCACAGCCTCCGGCGCAATCCGCATGACACGGAAGACACACGCCATTCCCGTCCGGAAACTTGGTCTCTGGACACGCTGGCACGCAAAACGGGCCATCCTTGACGTGTCTGCAGGTGGAACAATTCCCTGGCCCTGGCCCGTGGCACATACCGTTGCATTCCGCGTGACACCGCTCGCAAACTCTCCCGGTTGCCTCGTACAACCTGTGTCGGAAACGAAAGAAAATTTCAGCTTCAGCGCACAACTCAAAAGACCATTTAAAGCACATTCTCAATTTTTCTACGCATCACACACTTTCAACCGGTTCCAAACCGAAATTCTGAAATTACGATTCACAGCATACAGTATTTTCAATTTCTCCACGGATCAGAATTGTAATTTGTTCCAAGCCCAACTCTGAATTTCCAATCAACACAGTGGGACTGCCAGTGACATCTACCGGCGATCTAGGACAGTCGACTCGTGCAACCATAAAATTCAAATATTCCCAGATCATCGAATAAATTCCTGAAGCAACCTTCAAAACGTTTTAGAAACACGAAAAAAAACGAAGACCGTGTCCTACAAAAACGTTTTCATGCACTTGGAAAAAGTTATTTAGATTTCGGTTAGTGTCTAATTTCTAAATATAAAATAATGACCAGTTACGCAACAGAGACTCTTTTTTTTTTGCTTGTAAAAGGATGATAAATCTTCTCGCGGTCTATTATCCGAGGCAAAAAATGCTGTGGCAGCGCGAGTCTATTAACTGAAACGTATATTAACTTAAAAAAAAAAAACTATACCTTTGTATTAAACGATCGAAAAAAGTAAATAAAAATCCTTTTGATTTCGCACGTTGAAAAAGAAATATTTCTCACCCTTCAGCGTGGTTGCAAGATGCCACGCATCGGCCATCGGACTCGAAGTTCAGACAGGACACACACTGATTGGATCCTGGACCCCAGCAACCCTCTTCACTGCACTGTGGGTCACATTCCAAACCCTTTTTCCCTACAACACACACATTAAACACACGCATGATCAAATACTTGGAGCAACATTTTTCTTTCCGGATAAAATTCGCGTTTCCCCGTTCATTACGAAGAACACCCAGTCATTCAATAAACCCCTTCATTATCTTATGAAACGTCTTTAAACATTTTGCACACGAGTTACGCGAAAATCAGGAAGGGAAAAATGATCACAAAAATTCGAATAATTGAAAGAATATGCATATCTTCGAAAATTAAACGGAAACCTCATAAATCATGACTTCATGCAGTGGATCAAAACGCTGTCAAATCACGAATAAGTAAAATTTCAGTAGATCCAGCCAAGAAATAATTCCAATTTTTCACTTTTACACGAAAAACAAGGTAGTGATCGTTAGGAATATAATTAGCAAGCAAAAAAAAACTCACGGCAAACTTCAGGCGGCGCATTTTTCTTGAGCAAGGGTTCGTATTGAGACCGTTTAATGCGAGACCAGTCAATGGAGTCGACGAGACACAAATTGTCGTTTTCCAGGATAGAAACAGCACCACCTGACACAGTTTTGAGTGACCTGAGTCCTAGAAACTCCAACGAGGTCTTGATTATGTAGAGTGCTGAGTACTCGTTGGTATCCACGCCTTGGATTTCCTCGAGGTTCCTGAAAAAACAAAAAGGAAACCATGTGAATGAGGTCACTGAATCTCGAACGAGGTGCGATATTTAAAATTGTGTAAGGTCAAGATTTACATATAAAAAGTTATTAAATACAAGTGAACTGACTCATTGAAGTGAATCAAGGATATTTTTCTGAATCATCAAAGATCGCTTCTTTCAATCGAAAAATAAAAATATTGTATATAACAGGTCCACCATTTCTAAATTTCAACAAACAATGTTGTTCCCGTTCTGAGCATAAATACAAATAGATAACATTGTTTAAAATATAATTTTTTTTCAATAATTGTTCACTATGATGTTTCGGGCATTTTTCCATATTTCCATAGGTTTCTCTACAACCAAAAAAAAAACAGCTTCGTTAAAACGAAAAATTCGTTGCAAAGCGATTAAAATAACATTATTGCTATTGAACATCGACCTGAAAAGCGAATCTCCCGTAAACAAAAATTCGGTAAAACGAGATCCGTTTTTTTTCTCAACACGATTCTACTGTAGTTGCCTATAAGCATAATTTTGAATTTCCAGCACCAAAAAAAATCAACCTGGGTGCTTATATTCGAGCAAATACAGTAGTTTTGTCGAACATCAAGCGCCAACTACACAGCAGTAAATTAATTTGATTTACAGTGGTTCCATTGATTTTAAAGTACTGTACAGGACAAAAAAATACAATACCGTACCTAAAGTACGAGAGATTCCTAAAGTCGGAATGATTAGCCTCGATGCTGATGAACCCCGTGACTTTCTTCAACGACGCAAACACATCCAACCCATCGGGATGCATCGGCGGGTACGGCTCACCCAGCAACCCACTGCCATCCTCCACCAGGGGTCGGAACCCCGTGAACGTATGATCCATAATCCGTATGGAACCCTGGATCACCGTGCAACCCCGAAACTGGTCAATGTTGCCAGAATGAATGACGTCGTCGTCCTTGGCAGCCTTGCACTGTCTCGGGCACGGGCCATCACACGGGACACATTCTTGCTTCTCGACTTTCTTGTCGGGTGGACACGCTCGGACGCAGGCCCCGTTGTCTTTAAAGAGGTGCTTGGGGCACTTTTTCACGCAGGTGGCGCCGTAGGCGTATTTGCCGTCGGGGTTGGGTTCCCAGGAGTAGGTGGTCGGGTTGTAGCGCTGCATGGGTGGGCATTCTTCCTTGCACTCGCCTTCGTCGTAGAAATTCCTGCAGGCCTGTGTCATCGAGAAAGACAGTGAAATATTATTTTTTTTTTAGAAAAAATAAAATAAATAAAAATAAACACCTCCGATAATGAACAATTGGCAATATTGACAGAGATTTGGCTACAAGGTTTTAAACGTCAGTTGATATTATCCAATGAAAAATAAAAGTTGGCTTTTCTCCTAATAATGCTTCACACAGATTTTTACCTTTTTACAATAATTATTTTAATATTTTCTTGCTGAGAAAGCATTGACAGTGTACAATTAGCAATATTGACAGAGATTTGGCTACAAGGTTTTAAACGTCAGTTGAAATTATCAAATGAAAAATAAAAGTTGGCTTTTCTCCTAATAATGCTTCAGAAAAATGTTCACCTCTTTACAAAAGTTATTTTAATGTTTTCTTTCTGAGAAACCTCTCTAGAAGCTTCGACAGAGAACAATTTGCAATATTCACAGAGATTTGGCTACAAGGTTTTAAATGTCAGTTGATATTATCCAATGAAAAATAAAAGTTGGCTTTTTTTCTAATATGCTTCAGACAAAATTGTCACCTCTTTACAAAAGTTATTTTAATGTTTTCTTTCTGAGAAACCTCTCTAGAAGCTTCGACAGAACAATTCGCAATATTCACAGAGATTTGGCTACAAGGTTTTAAACGTCAGTTGAAATTATCAAATGAAAAATGAAAGTTGGCTTTTCTTCTAATAATGCTTCAGACAAAATTTTTACCTGTTTACGCAAGTTATTTTTATTTTTTCACTTGAAAAAAAACTTCTCTTCAAGTCCAACTTCATAATTTTTTGAAGACATTCCACTATAGCTGCTTCATTGGTTCTTGGCTTAATTTTTGCAAAAAAGACACTTTTTAAATACAGGTGGTACCTTGCAATTTGACCCTAATCCATTGCCAAACTGGGTTAAAATTTCAAAGCAGTCAAGTTTCAAGAAACTTTTTTAAATTAAAAAAATATATCAGTACAAAAATGCAACAACAAAAATTGGCCAAANTTTCACTTGAAAAAAAACTTCTCTTCAAGTCCAACTTCATAATTTTTTGAAGACATTCCACTATAGCTGCTTCATTGGTTCTTGGCTTAATTTTTGCAAAAAAGACACTTTTTAAATACAGGTGGTACCTTGCAATTTGACCCTAATCCATTGCCAAACTGGGTTAAAATTTCAAAGCAGTCAAGTTTCAAGAAACTTTTTTAAATTAAAAAAATATATCAGTACAAAAATGCAACAACAAAAATTGGCCAAAGCAGGTCAAATTGCATGTCAACCTCCCTGGAAATTCAAATGTCAAATTGCAAGGTACCATCTGTACCTGCCATAAAGTCTTTCAGACAAAACTTCATTGAGCCTGCAACAATTCTATGAAACTTTGCCAGTCAGCAAATATTTTTCATGGAAATTTGCAGGTCTCCAGGCCCAAAAAAGGTTGAGGAACACTAGTACATATTATGCATGAGATAAATGCACAAATCAGCAAAGAAAACCCACCAGACAGTCACTCTGCTTAGGCCCAGTGCAGCCTCCAGCACAGAACAAGTTGCAACACTGCCTGGGCTCAGGCCCAAAACACCTTCCTTGTTCACACTGGGGTGAGCAGTTGATTTTGGAGAACTTTTGGCAGTTGTCAGGACCTGGACCCCAGCAACCAGCTTCACAGCTTTTATCACATTCACACTGTCTTTCAGCCTCTGTCAGGTTGTACTGGTAAGTTGCCCTGGCATCCCTGCCATCCAGGATCTCTGTCCAATTGATGGTCCGCACATGGCACAGCCTCAAGTTGTTGAATATCCCAACATTCCCATTCAAGATGGCTGCAAAACACAAGAAAAAAATTGAAATAATGTCCCTCAACTCATTTTTTGTCAACAAACACATTCAAGGTCATGACTTCATTAGTTTCAAGATAATTTTCATCATTATCAGAGTTCCTTCACAAAAAATATACTATATAATAATATAAGTGCTAAAAAAAATTCTACACATTTGGAATATTATAAGATTTGAGAATCAAAAATAACTGAAAAAAGTGTGAAATTATTGAAAAATGTGTGTCATTTATACTGAAAGTGGATTTTTCCGTGAGTGGACTTCTCGCCGGAGCTCACATGTGAGCTGCCGAATTTACGCTGCTCCCCCTTCCCCCTGCCTCACTCCCTGAACCCATCACTCTCTCTATGAAGAAAAATCATGAGAGACTTCAGAAGGCCTGTTTGAATAGGTATAAATAGTGTAGTAGAAGTACTATCAACTAATATAATTAATATTCATTTTTATAAACCTTATGGCTTTACTGAAGGTTCTCTTTTCATTACTCTGATTATTCCATTTCATAAATACTGTACTGTACCAATACTGATATTTTGAAAAAGTCATCACTGGAAAACAGGGAATCAATCAATGAAGCAATATTAGTAATTATGAACTCAAATTATGCATGGTTTTGAACTCAATATAAATCATGAATATTTCACATCAAACAAATGATATTTGGAAAACTTCATAAGGTATGCATTTATATCATACAAATTTCTAGTTTGAATTGTTAGAAACAATTTTGATGTCCATATAGGAAGGGCAGCATTGAGAATGAATAAGAATAAATACAATATAAGAACCCTTTAATAGCAAATTTAATTCAGACAATTTCTCATTGCATGTACTCAACTTTTATAATCAGAGTAATGAAGAGAGAACCTTCAGTAAAGCCATAAGGTTTATAAAAATGAATACTAATTATATTTGTTGATAGTACTTCTATTACACTGTTATACCTATTCAAACAGGCCTTCTGAAGTCTCTCATGATTTTTCTTCATAGAGAGAGTGATGGGTTCAGGGAGTGAGGCAGGGGGAAGGGGGAGCAGCGTAAATTCGGCAGCTCACATGTGAGCTCCGGCGAGAAGTCCGTCCACCGATTTTTCTCTGAAATTATAACCACAGGACAAGGCTGCAATGGACTAATTTCTCTGGGAAATGAAATGGCACAAAAAATACTTGACAAATGAAGTTCAGAACCAGCCCATCCAAATGCAAACATTCCACACACTTGGAATATCATTGATACAATCAATAATCAGAATTTATCAAAACAGTGCTAAGTTTTTGAAAATGTTGTCATTTTTACTGAAATTTAATTTTTCTCTGAAATTGTAACTACAAGTCAAGGTTGCAATGAACAAAACACCTTTTGGAAAAGGAAGACTCTGAAATCAAGTTGTCCAAAAAGAACTTGAACTTCATAATGAACCCCTCATAAGTTTTGCTTTGCCAGTGTACAAACACAGGGTGACTCTCCTGTGCCAAAATAGCACCCAAAAAAAATTCTGCATCACCTCTCAAAGCAGGCATCTGCAGAGTCTCCATTTTGCCTAGAGTGACAGCCAAGGCAAATTCCCCATGCAAAGGCAACTTGAACAAGTTCCTGCCTCTGATGATTTGCAAACTGGGCAAGACAACATGGCGGACGTTGACATGCGAAATGAGCACATAGCCAGTGACTTCTCTGATGTACTGCAAAAAGTTGAGGTCTGCATCTTCATTCATCCAAGTTATCTCCAAGTTGCCATCCACAAAGGTGCAGTTGGTGTATCTGTCCTTGAGGTTCTGGTAGTGATGGTCCCTGTTTGAGCCCACTGACATCCGTCCATTGGTCCCAATACATACTGAGGGGGAGAAAAAAAAAAAGGAAGAGAACAATTTTAAAGGATGAGTATTGGTACCAGTAAAACCCTTCATTTCAAGAAACAGAACATAAGTTCCAAAAAGTGGGAAAATTCAAGATTTCAGGCATCTTCAGTCAGCCAGCTAAAAATGAATGTTTTCCAACCTAACTGCTGCCAAGAATCATTTCAACATTTCAGAAAATAAATCAAGTGAATAATAATTTCAATCATGAGTGCTGATCATAATTATTAGCATTTGAAATGCATTTCAGTAAGTCCACTGAATGAAATGTCTGATAGCCTGAATGCTGACAAATTCATTTCAACATTTCAGAAAATAAATCAAGTGAATAATAATTTCAATCATGAGTGCTGATCATAATTATTAGCATCTGAAAAGCATTTCAGTAAGTCCACTGAATGAAATGTCTGATAGCCTAAATACTGACTAATTCATTTAAAAGTTTCAGAAAAAAATCAAGTGAACAGTAATTTCAATCCTGAGTGATCAAAATACTATAATCTGAAATGCATTTTCAGTAAGTCCACCAAAAAAGAATACTGTATCTGCCAAACAGAGTGCTGACAGATTTACTTCAACATTTCAGAAAATAAAACCAGAAGTGAATAATCATTTTAAGCATGAGTGATCGTTCATAAATATAAGAAGCTGAAATGCATATTCAGTAAGTCCACTGAATGAAATGTCTGCTAACATGGGTTTATTTATCTCAACATTTCAGAATTTATTTCAACATTTCAGAGAAAGAAAAAAGTGAACCAAGGATTTTGAATCATGAGTGATCAAAAATATTGGAACTTCAATCAAGTCATGGGATCCGCAGGCGTTTAACAGAAAATTGCATAAAATCTGTTCCAATCAAATTTGGGCATATCCTTCTGGAATAGTACTTCGCTGAATACCAGCAAATCTACATATTCCTGAAAAGTAAGTATTCAAAAATCGAATCTTCGTTGAATTCCACGACAGGATCCCCTGATATTTTACATGGCCATACAACACAACAAAAACTTCAAGAATTAATGAATTTTGAGGTAAATTTGAAGAAGAAAAAATAATTCTTCAAAATTGGAAAGAAAAACTCTTGAAATATTCCTCAGATTTCCACCAGGGTTCACGAAAATTTCATCAATTGGAAAAACCTCACCAAAGCTGAGGAAATTCATTTTCCAGTAATCAAAGCTTATGAACAGATAAATAACACAGAATTCCTCAACGTTCGACTCACCCCCATTTTCTAACTCGAAATCTTTTACTGTAGCCAAACAGAAAAATCGTCATCAATCTTAAATCCTATCCGGTCGAAAAACAAAATCTTTCAAAAATGTCAGGGTCATCCAGAAATATTCAAAAATTTAAATTCAGGGAAACTAATAAATGTGTCTCAATCTTTACGAGACTCAAGGATATAAAAACCAAAATCTCTCCTTGAAAAAATTACTGTACACCAAATATAGAATATTTTCTCAAATCTCACAGTACATTACTGTATTTTTGCAGTAAAATATCGTAAAATCCACGCATACGATTTCCTCGAAGCTTTAAAATAATATACTAAACCAGGAAAACATGTTTTTATTTTATTTAAATATTGTATTTTCGTTCATTTAAATTCTTTTTTCTTTTACTAACTTCTCCCTTTCACATCCTGGTTCCTGGCTAACGGGGTGCTGAAAACCGGGTCCGGATGATCCTCGACACCGACAAAGCCACTTTTCAGATCCTCGACATCGTCGTTGCTTTTCAATGACCACGAAAAAGTCGACGCCGACGATGACCCACACAACAACAACACCAACACCGACGCCATGATAATTCGCGACATGGCCGCTTCCATTATCTCACATCCTCGTCACGCATTACGCAACTTGGACGCAGTTAATGACGCGCTTTTTTTCACGCGTCGACGCATATTTCTTGTCTCGTTTTCATGTATTTTTCTTTTAATATTCACATTTAATTGTTTGACCTTCTCCCTCCCCTTCTCGAACAGGAAGAAACGCAATTTGAGATTATGATCAATTGTTTTTCTTTTACGAGGACACGACAGCGCAAATTTCTCATCGTAGAGGAGACGCAATTTCACTCAATCGGCACAATGCCAGAAAAAAATCGATTCGACGCACGAAAAAGCGCAGAAAATGAAAATCTTCCGTCAATTTCTTAAATATTCAGGTACCTTCAAATTGATAAATCAAAACGATAATTACTTTTTAGAATTTCTCCAAAACGTCTATTGATGAAACGAACTTTTAAAACACATCGAACCACATAGAAAATTGAACTAAGGCCAATTTTGATTTCCGATCGATTGAAATTTTCATCTCTCAAGTATAATACGGAATTACGACAACAAAACCATATCCTTTCAAAAACCAATAAATAATATTCCTACTTCAACAGAGGCTTTCTTCGGATTTGCAAAGGAAACTCATAGAATGAACCAAAAGCGTCAGTTATTGTAAATAAAAATATGCCTTTCAACGCAGTACTTCGCAGACTAGGCTTGAAAGTTCACTTCACTTTTCTTTCAAGTAATGAATTCAGAAATGAAGTTGTATCACGAAAGAAGTGGGAACTTGATAGTTTTCCGTGATTTCCACACGTCACTTGACACTTTTCTTAGTTTACTCGTGCTTTATTGCAATTATCCTCGGGATCAGAGAGATTATGAGAATTCATTATCGTATTTGAATAAGACCACTGCATAAAAATATAAATGCACAGGTGATTTCAAGAATTTTCATTACCTCTCACTATAGAAATTGAACTGCTGATGAATTTCAAGACGCACTTTCACTTCATGCACAACAAAACAAAGTATTTCGTAAAATTCTCAACGAAATTTACACCAATTCTTCAGTAATATCTTCTCAAACACAGCAAATGTCACTTAGAAATTAAACAAGAAGTGCCGTAAATTTTCCTTCCGTATACAAAATTCGAATATGATGTCAACTTAATCGGGAGGAGAAATTCGTCGATAACATCTTCAGATTTTCAATTTTAATTTTCCGGATTTTTTTTTTCCGGCAGTTCGAAAGACGACATTAAACTCTTATGATTTGGAGCACATTATTGTCGACCAGTCACCTAAAATAGGGTAGTTCGTTATGTGCGAACTTCAAATTCTAAGTTCAATTCTAGGTCAAAATACGATGCATTTTTTTTTCCTGGTAAAAGTCTAAAAACAAGCCGTCTTATCTATATTAATAACGCGTATTATCGAAAATACGGTAGTGATCGACACGAACAGAGATTCGGATTTCGAAAAAAACGAGATAAGGAACACCCAGGATTTTCGGAACACACGCGCGTGAAATCACCTCCCACTGCACGAGATGATAACACCTTTTAAACACGATGTCGAGAAGTTTGTGAAATCACTATACAGGCGACAGTTTCTAAGCGGCAAGGAGGGAAAAATAATAATATTTTCAAATATTTTTTGTTTACTGATAACATTCAGAAAAGGTGAGGTGGAAGAAACGGAAAAGACCAAGAAGTTTGAAAATTTCAAATATTATTTCCGAGTCCATATTTCTGTACCAAAACACATAGGTTAGTTTCACTCAGATTCCGTTATACGAGCCAAGTCAGAATAATTTGAATAGAACTTTAAAACGCAAAGCTTTTCGAGTCCCAGACAAAGAAATGTGACAAATCAAAGAGATCAATGTCTCATAAAGCGACACAATCAAGGAACTTCAACCAACACTATACTTGAGTGATGTAACATGTTTGTTTGAGTGAAACACAATACAGTATCACTATTATCTAATAGGCATACAAAATTGAAACCAAATAATACTCATGTGTCCATTTCTGATTATCTGAAGTACAGTACTTCTAATAGTTCTAAACCTCTGACAATGATCCATCCATTGGATGACTTCACAAATGTTGGTATGTTCAATTTCACAGTTACAGTGGCATACAGTACTTAGTTTGCATGAATTGTTGTTCACATCAAATAAATCAGATACAGTAAATTATTTTGTGACACTCAAGATTATTTCAATATTGGGAGAGGTTAGGAAGACTTCCAGCAAGAATGGCTAGACATATAGGCAATGTTGGTTCTGAATTAGGTAAGGTCAGTTAAGCATTAGGTAAGGTCAGTTAAGCATTAGGTAAGGTCAGTTAAGCATTAGGTAAGGTCAGTTAGGCATTAGGTAAGGTCAGTTAGGCATTAGGTAAGGTCAGTTAGGCATTATGTAAGGTCAGTTAGGCATTAGGTAAGGTCAGTTAAACATAGGTAAGGTCAGTTAAGCATTAGGTAAGGTCACTTAGGCATTAAGAGAGGTCACTTAGGCATTACGCAAGGTTAGTTAGGCATTAGGCAAGGTTAGTTATGCATTAGGCAAGGTTAGTTAGGCATTAGGCAAGGTTAGTTAGGCATTAGGCAAGGTTAGTTAGGCATTATGCAACGTTAGTTAGGCATTAGGCAAGGTTAGTTAGGCATTAGGCAAGGTTATTTGGGCATTCCTGCATTAGGCAAGGTTATTAAGCCATTAGTGACGTTTGTTAGACATTAGACAAGGTTTCTCAGACATTAAGCAGGGTTACTTAGACATTGTGCACAATTACTTGAACAATAGGTAAGAATAGTTTGGAGTCTGATGAGGCAACGGTTAGGTTGATTCATCAGCTTGACTTAGGCAGAGGTAACGTGATATCAGGGTTAATGAGGCACAGGTATTACTAAGTAGGTACTGTACACGGCAGGCGAAAGGTAAGAATAACGTTTGTTACAGTATGGACGCAAAAATGTTGAAGGAAAATATAACCAGTAGGCGCAGCTTCTATACAAGCTAAGCAGCATGTAGTACAGTACCGCACTTCTCTTCAGCACTCGACACACTTTCCAAAAGAAAGGTTTCATTTGGAAACTTGCTTTCATATAGGGTAACACAGAACAACGGACACACAAATTTTTCTTCCCACTCACATACCGCGCGTTATTCCCTGAAAAAGTTTTCCACGCGACGAAAGTACGGAAGGATGAGCGTCTTTCACGTCTCTCTTTGACTACTACTCTCTCTCCTTGTTGGGCCTCCCCGGCTTCCACTTTTCGAAGTCACAATGTCATGCATATGACATGGATATGCAATCCGCGCCCGCGCGCGCGCGAGAGAGAGAGCGAGCTGTCCCTCAGTCTTGAACCGCTCCGTCTCTCTCACAGCGCCCTTCCCTTTCCTTCCACCCCGCCCGCTTTTTCGTCTCCCGTGTCCTACTATCCACTCGCTCACTCTCCTCCAGCTTTCAAGGAGCCGCCGCGCCAAGCAGCGGAGAAACTCCTTGGTCAGGGCTGCCAGGCTGTGATAATATCACCATCCCCCCCAAGGGTCTTGAAAACATATAAAAGGGAATTATTATTATAATATGAGGCGAAGTGGAGAGTTCGCGTGCGAGCGGAGTAGGAAGCTTTTCTGGATACTTTTCTTCTACAGTATAACAATATTCTACGTGGTATTAAAACTGCGGCTCTGCAGGACTTCATGGATCAGTTGGCACAACCCCCTGAAATTTATTGTTATCATTGGTGTCCTCTGTCAAGAAAATGTTTCCTATTTTTTTATTTTGTAATTCATTTCAATGGGAGGGGAAAAATAAATAATACTGTAATCTATGATGCTCCATCATTTGAAGTTGTTCAGGGATCCTTCAAATATGTGGTGGTTTTCTTCACTGATGTATTTGCTGAGAAGTTGTTTTTGTTTCTTTTCAGTTTTGATAACATACTGTACATTCTTAATGCTTGTATTCTACAGTGATTTGAAATTTCAAAACTTTTCAACATTTTCATATTTTTAGAGGTTTTGGGATCTTCATTGTGGCGCGTTTCTGGTGGTAGATAATATTGTCCGAGACAAATAAAAACATTTCTCACCTCTCTATGTATAATTTTCTGTACACACACACAAGCATGGCACAGCACTGTGGCTAATGCAAACTAAAACTAGGTAATGATGCAATTTATTTGTTATTATTGAAAAGTCAACAATTATCTAAAGTCTTGATTAATCACAACCTGATACACACAGGAATAGGCTAGTGCAGCACAAAAAAAAATGAATAAAAAAAATGAACCTTGCTAAACATTGGGCAGGTCATCTGTTAAACTGAAAGGTGGTGGTTTGTTTAGGTGGCCTTTCAAGAAATTGCTTCCTTCAAGTACAATGTATAATGCATACCAAAACCAATGGACAGTACTACTGTGATAGTCCCCAATCGCAGGTATTACTGAGAACAACAAACACTCTTTTGGAAGGTATAACAACCTGACAAATTAGGGAACAGGAAAAGTGCAGAATTCTTCAAGATACAATATAGGCATAGGGAGTAGAGTAAATGGTTCCCCTTTAATACTTAATCAATGCCAAAGCACAAAAATACAATTAAGTGTCCTTTTCCATCTGAAGAAAAAATCTGGCTTTTGGAAACTAAACCCCATACTTCATGTTCACCATCCTCAGCCTGATACATTACTGTGCTTGGAATAAGCATGAGGTCAAAACAATACAGCATCAAATTACCTCATGGCAAGTGAACTAGTGCAGGTGAAAGCCATGGAGCATTTAGAAGCTGAGGCATGTTGAGACAGGGGGCAGTAGTATTCACTATTGAATGGCTTCCAATATCAATTGTGTTCATGAAACCTCAACTAAGCACATCATCCAATATATTGACATTACAAGTTGAACAAATGAAGTACAGTATATACCATTAGATGCACTGTGTGATAAACCATGCTAAATGCTCTTTTAACATAGTACTATAAAATGATTGATGCCTGCCAAAATCAGAGGACAATTGCTGTTTCATAAGCATTTGAATTTGTCCATCTCAAGAAATTCAAAACAAGTACTGTACTGCAATATTCATAAACCTCGCCCTGAAACATTTATTCAATTGTGGAACCTAAAATGCATCAAGCATGTCAAACAAAAATACATCAAATATCCTGTATAGTAGTACAGCACACCAACAATACCT